CCCTCCTCTCCCGCTCAACCCCCACCGGCCCCACTCCGTCACTCTCCTGTTTGTTTCCAGGATCCCCGGGAGGCGCTCATCCTGAGCCTCAAGAGGGAGGTGGCGGCGCTCCAGAGCGAGAACGACCACCTGCGGGGCGCGCTGCGCCTCAACGGCGAGCACCTCGTCGGCGGCGACCCCGGCGCTCCCCGGGCCATCGGTGAGACGAGGGCCGCGCGGTCGTGGCCGTGACGTGTACGGGCGCACTATGTTGACGTATTTTAACCCGCTGCGCGTCGCTCTGGCAGGATCGCCACCGCCGGCCGTGGACCTGGAGCGGCTGGCCGAGCTGGAGGCCAACGAGCTGGCGGGGCTGGTGCAGCACTACATGCAAGAGAACGAGGCACTGCGGCGCGAGAACTCGGACCTGTTCAGCACGCGCGAGGTGCTCATGCGCGACCAGGACCTGGTCTGCAGGGAGAACGAGCGCCTCCTCAAGAAGCTGGAGGACGTCAACTCGTGAGTCCAACGGCACGACACGGCGTTCTCTGATTGTCGATCGTTATGTGGCTATCTAAAACGGTTTCCCCGTCCTTCGGCAGAGTGTGTTGCCGGTCGCCAATCATACCCGCCCGCCCGACGTTCTCCGGAGACTTGCTCAACATGTCCCTGGCGGGGTCCGACATGGGCCCGCTGGGGGCCACCATGGGCCACGACCTCATGGCCAGCTCCACCAACGTGTGGGTGCACCCGCTCAACGGGAGCGTGGGCAGCCCGGGGGGAAGCACCACCGCGCTCACCGGGCCCAAGTTTAAGGTGCGCTCGCTGGAGAGGGACTTCCCTCGAATAAGGAAAAGGAGGCTTACAAACTTCGTCTCTTTTCTTTTCTACCCAGGCGGAGATTCTCGAAGGAAGGCATTCCGCGAAGCCTCCACACCGGCTTCCAGACTCGATCCAGAAGGAGCTGGATAAGAGGAGGATAGGAAAGAGGTAAACTAAAGGGCAACGTGGGGTGGCCACGCGGGTATCGCGTTAGTTAACCCTTGTGTTTACGAGATGGAATTGTTTGTTACAGTATGACCAACATCGCCGAATCTTACCGCGATAGGAGTCATCAGAGACACAATTCGTGGGACAACTCGAAGCAGGGGTCGCCAGGGCTCAGCAGCGATCCCCCCACGGCACCAGTGCTTCCCGCCCAACCACAGCCCCCACAGGCAGTTCACGGCTAAACCCTACTTGCAATGTAGCATTACTTAACAAACAATAATAATTATGAGTAAGATATATATAAAAATAAATTTGTCAACATTTTGAAGGTAAGGAAGGAAGGCTAAGAGCTGTGCTTTGCTTCACTCTAACGGCTCTAACGTCAACTCAGAACCTGTATATGTGATGGGACCAATCATTAAAGCCCTTGAAATAAGAAATATACTGCCCCAGGAAGCTGAGGGATGTCTACGTATTTTAATAGAAAAAGTTCAAGTCTTTTCCATTAATACTTTTGAAAACAATAAACTAACAAATTATTGGTTCAATTCCTATCCAAAGTGTGTGTTGGCAGTGTTGGTTGAAGTAGCTAAACCAATGTTTGCATGTCCCATATTGTCTGATAATCAGAATATGCATTTGGGCGATCTCTGGTTTAGAAAGATGAACATGGATAAGTGACAAAATAAATTGTTTTCTATAAATTGAGTAGTTTTAATAAAAACAATTATAGTTGCAACATGAAGTACTCATGATCAATATTACCATCATTAACTTTATAGAACCCCACGACAATTTGAAAATATTGCCTGATAGCAGGAAACAGATCACAAAATCCATTAGTATTCAATGAATCACACACACAGCAAAGCTTTAGAGCTCCTTATCAGTGTGATAAAACAGGGTACAGACAATTTTACATTACAAAATATGAAGGTGCTACCATTATTAAATAGGTTGCCTTCTTTATTTGTATTTTTGCCTCTCGAGCAAAATTTATGTAACCCAGCCCGGAGCTGTGTGTCTATGAAATCTGGTCCAAAAGACTACTCCATTAGATAAAATTTCGTGAAATGTCATTCAAAATACTTGAGATTGCAAAAAAAGTAATACTGTTAATTCAGAATATCTCAAGGAGATTTATTTTTTACTAAGACCCTTTGAAGTTTGCTTCGAATGGAATTCTGACACTGTTTTCAAGATATTTGTGCTCTTATTAAAAATGATACTCTCCTTAATAACAAAAATCAATATTTGAGCCCCAATTTAAAATAATATGAAAACACTTTTGACTTTCTGCTTTCCCATTGGTCCAATAATTGCTGTGAAAGATATATGGCTACACCAGTCTTAAAAGGAAAGCCGCTTGGTGCAGGATATAAGATTGCACAGCTCAGGGCTCTAAAATTCTCCATCATAGGGTTTCTAAAAGTCCACCATTTGTAAACAAAGCTAAAATACATATATACAAACTTCTCATTCATACTTAAGATCTTCTGACATTGCTTTGAAGGCAAGATGAAAAAACATTTAACAATGCATACCAAGAATGCAATGCAATTAAATAGAAAAAGCTTTACCTCACACACTGTCTTACATTACAATACACAAAAAATTTACATTCATTCAATGTTTGACATTCCAATAAGACAAACATCAGTCAAAAAGGAAAATATTTCATATTTTTTTGACAGATACATGCCTGCACTTAAGATATGCTCAAAATAGTTAAAAATAAAATAATAGCATTCATCCAAAACTTAGACATAAGACTGGCACTAGAATATTTCTACAGTCCTATCAATGATCCCAGCTGAAGTACACTATTTAATCGTAGCTAGGAGGAAACCAGGCAACAAAAACTTTAAATAGCAGAAGGGAAAATATTTTAAGTTTTGAGCAATGATTATTCCACTACATTCACTGTATAAAAACGTTACCATAAGAAATATAACAGACAATTTTCAGAAAAGAACGTGACTAATAGGAAAAATCACTAATAGGCACTAACTACTTGCTCTAATTGAAACTAGAGAGGTGCTCATCAGATAAAATGGGTGTGTCCAGAAATGCACCCACACCAACATATACTTGCATGAAATGAATAGTGTCACGCAGATAAATAAAAAGCAAGATGATTATACATCACACATCGAATATGCCCAGATCAACTTCAAGGAAACTGAAGGGAAATTGACATGGCAACAAATTCTAATTGGCATATGAAGCTTGTTTCCTCCAAGACAAGTATATTATCGACAAGTTCCAAATGAAAAAATAGTTCGGAAAGAGGAGTCAACTGAAAATGGTTGATTAATTTTACTAAAATCTCTTCTACTGATTACTTTGGCACAGCTGGTAGACTGATATTTATACTGAATGCTGTAGTTAATGAATATTTTGACCCATTCTTTGGTCCAAATTGAGCCATAAAAATCACTACGCTGATTTCTACAGCACTTTTCCGTACACAAACACCATCATAAATTGTGAAGTAACATGTATAATTCCCCTGTGGGATAGCTGGTAAATATCATACCCCCAAAAATCAAAACAGTCAACACAACTTTGATTTCATAGGTTTAAAGTTCAGTGAGATTGTAATCAAATGTACCTTCATTGGAAAACTGATGTGACAATTGATTGTGCATGACGGCATGGGCAGAGATTTCAGTCTTGTTAGAACCATAATGCTGTGATGATCAGAGGATGATTGATTTAGAGAAAAAAGATATCACACACAATGTGCTAGACCGCACCAGGCAGGACGGATGCCACAGAAAAAGAAAAAAAGCCCCACGCCAAGCAAGTGGAAAAAGTGTGATAACAATACTGGGTCACTTATTTGCCTCATAGTTTATTTTATTAGACTCAGTAGAAATATCACTTGTCATGTGCAAAAGATGATATAGATGAGAGAAACATCCCTGGCATCAGGCTTTCACTTGAAAAATGCAACAGCACTCCAGCTCTATTTCCAAATGCGAAAAACAAAGCCTCTCATTGGACAATGAGCGATGTTCCTTGTTTGACTATCAGTTCATAAAAACACAAGGATGATCATGAGTTGATTTAATAATCTTCAACATCATAATAGTCACCGAAGTCTAGGTCATCACATTGAAGGCTCTGGAAATCCACCTTGTAACGGAGCAATCCTGTAACCCCAAAAACATTAATTACACTGGTGCATTCAATATAATAAATCATTACATTTAACCTGGAAATAAGGACCAAAATTGGGGACATGATGCAAAGAATTTCAGGTATGGAAAAATGTGTAAAATAAGTCAAAATTGATTTGAGGTTTCTTTCTATCATTCAGTATGTCAGAGTTGGGTAATTATGAAATAATAACTTAAAACTTGGACCTATAGTTATAATAAAGCTAAGATTTAGGTGCAACATCAGTAGATGCATCTGAAAGAGACACTTGTAGTACATTTCCAAAGGTAAAAGGTAGGCTCACAATGATAACAAAAAATCAATTTCCATGCATGACAGAGCAAAATTCTTTGATACGAAGGCAATATAGTTTCAAATTTACAAGCAAAGGAAAAAGTATCAGAACATTGGAAATGGTGCAGGTGCTTATAAGTATGTTTTCATTTCTTAAGAAAGCATGCTCCATAAACTTTCAGTTGGTTTCAAAACCTGTACAAAAAATTCATTTGCAAAATACTGTACGTAAGGGCCAGAAAAGCCATGCAAAATTAGTTCACCAGCTAAGAATTCATGCTCATGCTATCTCAAACTAGAGTAGTTAGGCAAACTTTAGAATAAAACGTTAGGGTCCACTCAGTAACGAGGAAATGGCTATCTTAAGAGTTCTCTTTATCTTTAGATTTTATACTTCAGAAATTCAGCGAGGAATATTGATTATGAAACTATAGATGAAGCAGTTCCAAGAAAATTGAACATCATCTTCACCTACAATGTCCTGCATTGGGAATCAATTGAGTTGAAAGCAAAATCAAAATGATCCCACAACTGAACACACTTAACCAAAAGCTAAACAACAGCAGATAATTGTTGAAACTTGAGTGTTCTGCCAAATATGAGAGGGAGAGACAGAGAGAGAGAGAAAGGAAAGAACAGCAACTGAAAACGACGACCAATTCACCAATAATCTTATATGAAATAAAAATAAAACAGCTGCAAACTTAACGAACTGCATAAAACTGAAAACAAAACAATTTTGTGTACCAATACTGAAAACTAAACAGTGCTGATCAGAAGAATAGTCATTCTATTTGCGTCAATGAGCTAGACAACTAAATGTCTAAAAACACCAAGCTACACAAGTGCCACACAGATGTGACAGACATTTCTACCTGATGATGTTAAAATTCATTTTGAGAATAGATGCGTTGTGACTTAGATTAGTAATCATCTAAGTCAACGTCCTCCAGAGGTTCATCTGCCTGCAGACTTTGGAAGTCTACTTTGTAGCGAAGAATTCCTGAATTGGATTACAAACACACAAGCACAGCTTAGCCTATGTTTTCTTAAACAACAAAGTATGTCACCAACCCAATGAAATAACCAGAAGAATTTCTCTTTGATAGTGCAGATTGATTCAAAATGTATCCCAGAAGAGACATGCAAGGACAACCAAATTCCAAGAGACATAAAATTTCAAGGGATGGAACACTGATGACATTTGACCCATCATGCAAACCATTTAACAGCACACAGAAGTAAAATGTCCTCAGGGAAATAACATATGCTAAATATGTTAATATGTCCAATATTTAATCAAATGATCAAAACACTTTAAAAGGCAGAGTGTATGAGAAAAATGCCTATTGAAATAGCAAGTAAAATTCTGACTATGTATAAAGAGATGTAACCATGCTGAAAGCACTTTACGTTATGTGGTAGACACCAGTATATGTAAAGGATTTCAAACAGGAAAGTACTGAATATATTACAGGTTACTTTGAACATTTTCAACTCTGTTAAATGCACAAGCTGAAGAAAGCAAAATACAGAACGGTGGATCTGTAAAAGCTCATGAGGCACAATTTCATATGATTATCAGTTACTAGAAAATACTGACCTCCAATGCCTCCGAAGCCTCTCACATATTGTGAACCCTCCTGCGATTTGTCAGTGATAATCTCCAGCGTAGCACCAAAGGTCTTGTAGTTGTTTGCGAGCCACTCCAAAAGTGGTTGGCACTCTACTAACTCCAATTCAACTCCACTCTGAAATAGAAACAATAAATTTACTTGGTGGAGAGAAAGTGCGAGGAGTGTAGATGACATGAGCAAAGTATGATTGCAGCAGAGAGCAACATAATAACAGTAACTCACATCTTTGTCAGTAAAGTGAGATTTATCTTTTTCTTGCTCAGGTGTAAGATGAAGAACCTTTTCTTCTGAGGTAGAGTGATTCTTCAGAACATAGCGTTGAATGTCAAGATTTTCCCAACAAATAAGGGTCTCAACAGATCCAAGTTCAAGAGCTTTCAGTGTGTCATCAACACCAAAGCAATACTTTCCTGTGTCTTGGCTGATTTCGTCAAAGTAACGTCCTGAGGGTCAATGAGTACGGAAGACATATAACACATGCAAGCAAGCAAGACAGGAGGAAATAATAAAAGACAACAAAGATATAATCTGTCAACATAGCTACCTATGAGTTTCTTCTCCTGAATAAATTTAACATTTTGCAATGACTCGGCAGCCAGTTCAATTGCTTGATTAAAACCATTTTCACCACCGTATGAAACATCAACCAATTTAATAACCTTGGACTGCAACCGCTACAAAAAAACAAAAAGGAAAAATAATTATAAAAATGACTTTACAGCTTTCTAAGTACATTGAAACCAAAACAAAACAGCATAAGTATAAGGTAGTTGAGTTATTTGTAAGAGGAAATAACGTAAAAGTGAATGTCATAAGAAATCAGACTTACAGGATCAAACATGTCAGACTGACTGAGTTCTGTCTTGAAGTCGGCACTACCAGCAAGAATAAGGCCAGCAATATTAGGCTTATCATTAGTGATGAAAAGTTGTGTAGCAACTTCTGCCACTTTCCTGACATAGTTGTGTCGCTTTTCCATTCTTAAACGGGCAAAACGCAAAGCTGACTGACCTCCTCTGCCTAAAAACATATAAGGTCAAAAAAATATTTAAAAAATGGAGGCATGTCCAAGTTGGTTGATACTAAAGAGAAAATGAAATACTGACCGTGCTTTTTAGGAAGATCAACTGTAAATTTGTGTAAGACTTCTCTTGTATTCCCCTGAAGTGTACCAAACAAAGCTCCATTACCATCCATGACAATAAATCCAAATTTATTGTCGTCAGCCAGAAGTGCTGTAAGGGCTTCTGTGTGAAACTGAAAAAAAAAATAGAAACCATAGAAAAAAATTGTTCTAGGGCAGACAAATAATTCTTACTGTAGGTCCAAAGTAAAGAAATTAGAAAAGCTGTACCTTGTTGTCGCAAAGATATAAAGAAGTGTTAATTGGCTTAAATGGCTCAAAATCAATATTAACTTTCTTTTCCTTTCCTTCATCGGTGACAATAGTTCCACAATAAATAACTAAGCCATTAGGGGGCACTGAAAAACAACAACAAAGTTAGAGGCTCAATTGGACATAGCTATGGGACGATGAAAGCAATAGTACATATATTTATAGATATTTACCCTTAGTGTATAGTTTCAGTCTGTGTTGTACTGATGTAATGGCTCCAAGGACAGATAACCTGTTCACTCGCGATTTAATATTTGAAGCAGTTCCAAATTCATCAGCCAACATTTTACTGACCCGTGAAATCTGATCTTTAGGAGGAATGATGAGGGAAATCATACTGGTTCCATTCCTAAAAATAAAGAAAAAAAGGATAAAAGAGGGGAATTACAGAAGGAAACAAATGTGGAAACAACGCATAGTAAAAGTAAAGAGCAATGAGGTGAGAGTGCTAGTAATGTTACAATTGCTCCAATTGTTGCATTTACTTGACCTGTCAGCTTTAGGACAGGATGTGAAAAAGGTCACTTATGCATAGTGACTTATAAGACAGCAGTCAACAGGGAACTCAAAGGAAAGTACGGTGCTTGGCATTGAGATAGCTAAAAACTGGTAGTAACCAGTAATTTAGAGCAAACCATATGGAGTATGTGAAAAGCAACACAGGTGCGAAGTGCTATAGGAGTCTAACCGAATGAAAAATTAACGGGTGCCGCACACATGGCCAAATAAAAACGAAATGCACGTTAAATATGCTCAGACAGGTAAAGAACATTGCTTAACACGGAAACGTGATTTGACCATGAAGGGCTAACCTAAAAATCACAAAGTGATCATAGCAACATACTCGGAAACTTAATGCAAAGACGGACACTAGCACACAATTAACCTGAATAGAAATTTCTTAAATTATCAGAATAAGATAAAAATATATGGCCATCAAAGACATAAAAACATGTATTTAAGGAGACACATGACTCACCCTCTAGCCATTTCCAAACTTTTGATCAGCTTCTTGATTTTCCATATTTCTACATTACGATCTGACGACGTTTCTTCGTTGGAAGACATGGCGAGTTCCTCTCGTGAACAATCTACAAAATTCTAAAAGTTCCAAATTGCTAGACAAACTACCACAAAAATCTCGATGAGATGTCTGTGGCTGTTCGTGGCAATTGGCAAAATGGCGAACTGCAGCCGGTCGCTGCCTTGCTCCTCACGGAGTGGTCATCGAGCTCAAACTGGATTTCACCGGATACTCCCTAACCTGTTCAGTTCAGACGCACAACAAAAGCAAGGAGCGAGAGAACGAAGGGTCAGGGGCGCAAGTAAGCCCTGGCTTTCCAGATAGCCTCAATTATTTTTGTCCATTTAGTTTAGGGATTTGTGGTGGATTCCCTCGCCCCCCTTCACCCCCTTCACCCTTCCCCCCCACAGATTCCTTTTCTTTTTCTCCCATTCAAAATGTATTTGGAAAAGAAAAGGGATTTCACATTATATATAATAGCATTTGATATCACAATTCTTTTTGTGTGGTCAGTCCAATTTTGTTTAACGATAAAAGACTTGGAGCTGCTGCAAGATTTGCGCCGATTTGCGCAGGAATGATACGTAAAAGTGCTTGCAACGTGTGGCCCACCATGATTTCGGTTCAAATAGCCCGCCCTCACATCCTCTAGGTACATGTCATAGATGAGAAATTTTCACTAACTCCACAACGTCTATGCTGAATGCCTCATACCACGCATAAGAGTACTGGGATTTACAATCACAAACCTGATAGCAGAACAGAAAGCAGAACGCAGCTGATAATGTTGAATGAATGAAATGCTTCGCCTGAAAAGTGAGACAACTTTAAGTTATGCCGCTCTTAGAACGCGGCACAACTTTTCAAAATACTAAGCAATAGAATTTGAAGTGGAGCCGTCTTGAGTCTTGCCATAAATCTGTGAAAACGTTCGTTCAAAATGAATTGTGGGAGACTTTTTCTTGTCGGTCACCGCGGATTTGTGCAAGGTCTGGCAATCTATGGCCATAGCCGGCTCCCAATCGCGGTACGCGAGTGCTCCTTCCAAACACGGCTTTTTCGCTCTCAGGCCAGATTTCATGATAATCTCTTTGGCCGCCTTCGGAAAGGAATTCAGAAGCACACTGCAGGAATCAGTCGTGCATGTGCGAGACAGGTTAGACTTGTGGAGGTTATTTCTATTTATTTTCTCTTTTTTCTGCATTAACTGAACTTGTCGGATCATTTTTGTCCCAGGTTGAATATGTTATGGCACTTCGTATCCGCCGAGCTCAACAGGCTGGCGTTTTTTACTTTCAATTGTGTGGAGGAGCCTTTCTTCGAGAGATCATTAGTCGAATATTTTCTCGTTTTCTTCTGAGACTAAGAGTGTCTCTCTTGCATCGCTCTCACAACCTCGTTTTGTCAGCAAGTGTTATGCCTTTCTTCTGCTGGAAAGATGAAAGAATTCCTGATGAATATCTCCTGAGGTAATATTATCTCCTCCAATTATTGTTTGGATTGATGACTATGTTTTGCTATTTGCATTTCATTTATTTCAGGTTCTCAAATGAATTAGAAGCTGTTGCATGTTTGCGTGATCACACTTGTCAAAACTCCTCACCACCTTGCAAGCCTACTGGTAAAAAGTCTCCTTTGCTGTCATGCCCTTCACATTACCACAATGACAGAGGTAAAATTAATTTTGTCTATGTAGCACTTAAAGATTTTCCTCCTCCGTTTTCCGTTTTTGCATGACTTTTTCATGGTTTTGTTTGTTTCTAGTTGAAGATCCATGGGAGCTTTTTATTCATCAAGGAGACCTAATGGTTTGGAGAAGAGAAGTGCCCAATCATAGAGGGGAGGGTCTCTTTGAGTATAAAGGTAGAATTAATTGTCTTGTAACTTCTAAATAGCCCCAAATTCTTAATGATTGTTAATATTTTGGTTGTGTTGTGTTTTACAGTGTATGGCGCATATGATGATATAACAGCCCATGACTTCTTAGCTGTGCATATAGATACAGAATTTAGGAGGGAGTGGGATTCTTCTGCAGTTGTCCTTGACGTTTTGGAAAGAGATCCCCAAACCAACAGTGAAGTTGTATATTGGGAAATGCAGTGGCCTGTAAGTATTGTTGGTGTGTACTCAAGCATAACATTCAATCTGGATCAAAAATGTGATTATTTTTATTGTTTTCAGAGAATGATGTCCAATAGAGATTATGTATACAAAAGACGTTACATAATAGATGAAGAACAAAAAGTTGTTGTGTTTGTAAATCAAAATACAGAGCATCAATCAGCACCTGTAAAGCCGGGCAAGCAAAGAGTTACTGAATACTGGTCCATTATTGTCATCAAACCGACGTCTGATTTAGACAAGGTATTTTATAAGAAAGACAGTACACTAAGAAGCCCACTGATACCTATTTAAGACACACAGTACAGTCATCTCTTACTCGGTCTTTTATTTTTTATTGTTTTTTAGCCTGGTTTGGAGTTTAGTATGACATACTTCGACAACCCCGGACTTGTATTTCCATCAGCTTTTGCTTCATGGGCAACCGCTACAGGTAAATTTTGTGCAAATTTCCTTAGATATTTGTTGCTTGACTTATTTCCTTTGCATTTGTTTGTGTACCTCATTTATTCTCATGTGAAAAAGTTTTTCATTTTAGCATACTAAACTATTATTTAACATTTGCATAGGCTTCCCTGATTATCTAAGTAAACTGCATATGGCAACTGTCAAGTTTGCTGAGCGCCGTGTCAAGGAGGAAGCTGAAGCAGAAGCTAGGAAAGCTGCAGAGGCTGCAGAGGCTGCAGAGGCTGCAGCAAGAGAGGAGAAAAGGAGAAGGGGTGAGGATGAGAAGAGAAAGCTTAATAATGCTCCTCACCCTCATCCACCAGAAACATGGGAAGTGTTTTTTGGTGGTGGACCAGTCCTCTCAAGTGTAGCAAATGAAAGTCCGGACCCTAAAGATCGACTGAACTATCTTCTTAACAAACTGATGCTCCTTGGTACATGACTACTGTGAGTTTTTGTTAATATGGTAATTTGTTGACCGAACTTCTCCAAGTTTGGTGTTTGATCTCAAGCTTCGTTCTTCTAGGTCGGCTCCAACATCCAAGCAGACTTAGTTGCCCCAGATACAATCAACCAGGCATTGTCTATTTTTAATCTAGTCGCATACACAGTTAAAGCATGTAGGGTTTGAATTTTGAGTCAAGGGACGTGACTCTCCAGGGCAGATAAAAACTTTACTGGTAGGATGGAATATAGGCTTCATACTCTTGTGTTCTATGGGAGGACGCCTACCCATGTATGTTTGTATGTATGTTTGTATGTATGGATGTAATTTGCTCACTTGTGTGGAGTGCTTTGCAATGTGTCATTATTTTTCTATTTGGAAAATTATTTTTACAATTGTGATTTTTATGATCTGTTTCTTAAAACTTCTGTTTACACAATGTTTTTCTTTTTTCAAAAGTAACAGGCCGGCATGTGTTCTTATGAAATGATTGCTTTAATAATTGGTTTCATGCATGTGCAGAATTTACTTGTGAATGCACACCTTTGCACAAAGATATGAAGTCTGTGTTTCTTATCCCACTTTGTGATGTGATATATGATAATGGCTGGATATTTGAAAAAGGGGGGAGGGGGAGGGGGGGACTTGAAAATAAAAGGATAAAAAGACAGAACTAGTTAAGCATGAGTTATTTAGCTTTAGGTTACCAGTGTCTAAATGAATTATTACTTTATTATCACAGTCAGTTCTGTTCTTTTTTCTTAGTTTGCATATTGATTATTTTAGAATTGTTAATACTGAACCATGGAAATTGTTTGCTGTGTGTAATGCATGACTATTCAAAAATTTTACTCTCATACCTTCAACATGTAAACAGTTACTGTACTTTTGTGATCTTTTGTTGTACAGACAGTTATATAGGATGTTTGTGTCTTCAGGAATGTCACATAGCATGTTCACCTGTATGTGTGCAGATGCTTTGTCACTTGTGGTTCTTGTAAATCTAATTAATCATGATAAATCAAGAGCTGTATATGCCCAGTTGTTAATTGTTGTTACCATGAGATTAAACAGTGTCTATTAATACAACAAGTCTTAAGTTTTTACTGATAAAGAGTACTCTTGTTTCGTAATATAGAAAAATATTTTGCTTTTATTTAAATCAATATCTACATAGTCAATCCATAGTCATACTTTTTTACATATTTTTCAATGGCTGAAGGCGTCAGTGACAGTTCTCCAGAAATGTTTCCTTAATAATTAACCAATTATGAGCAATGTGTTGGACAGAGCGAAGGAACAACAAGGACATCCAAACAAACCGGGGAATCCGTGAGCACGAGAAAGATGTAACTTATCTTTGTCGGGTCTGTGCCACTCCATCATATCGCCATCAAGGTGACCAGCGACTGCGGCCCAATCTCGGTTCCTTGGAATTCGCGCCGATATTTTTTCAGCCTTCCAATTGGAGCCCTTATAATGTGTTGCGACGCCCTCAGCTAGCGGGGAGCGAGTCGTGGTGGTGGTGGTCCCGGACGTGGTCTTCGTCTTCCCTACAGTTAGTGATGCCCCTCTCCGTCCCCCTCCCCGTCCCCCGCCTCCGCACCCTTGTCGTGTTCGCCGTGCTGGTAACTGCCGTCTCCGTACATCTTAGCGTACTTCTCGTAGCTGCCGTCGTCGTACTTGGCAGCGTGTGGTTCATAACTACCGTCGTCATAATTGCCAATGTGCTTGACGTAGCTGCCGTCGTCGTACTTTGCCGCGTGAGGTTCATAGCTGCCGTCGTCGTACTTTGCCGCGTGAGGTTCGTAACTGCCGTCGTCGTACTTTGCCGCGTGAGGTTCGTAGCTGCCGTCGTCGTACTTCATGGCGTGCGGCTCGTAGCTGCCGTCGTCGTACTTGAGCGCGTGGTGGTCGTAGTTGCCCTCGTCTGCCGCCGTCATGCCCTCGGCATTGGCGTCGACGTCGTTGCTGGACGACGCCACCATGCCGGGGGGCGCCCGCACCGCCCTAAAGGCCATGCGGGACTCCTGTCCATCGCCGTCCACGTCCAACATGTCGCCGTCCAGGTCGCTGACGAACGCCTGTCGCGCCTCGCGCTGCAGGTAGTGCATGCTGCTGCTCGCGCTGCTACGCGCCCGCGCGCCCGACGCCTTACCGGTCGCCTTCAAGTTCCCCTTCACGCCCGCCTTGGCCCCCTTACCCCCCTTGTTCAGCTTGCCGCTCTTGGACGAGGCCGAGGCCGCCGTCTTGAGGTTGCCGAGGCCGTGGCCCATGCCCGGACTGAGGCCGCTGCTCGGGAAGCTGAAGTAGTTGGGGTCGAGGACGGCCTGCACTCCCTCATCGTGTCCCTGCAACAGTGTCACTGAGTACATTCTTGATCAGTCCTTGGCGGAGCCTCGCGGGGTGGGCATGTGGGCGTTACTGCAGGTGCAGCGGGCGCGGGCGGGGACCCGCCGGGCGGGGACCCTTCGCCTTCGTGAGCCGCAGGGGCAAGGTGCTCACATAGTCTGACGAGGCCTGCTGAGACGCCCGGGGTGCGCTCGGGGCGGCGTTGGGGGTGTTGACCATGTGTGGCGGCGTGCTCGGGATGGACGAGCCGTCCAGGACGTGGAAACCGAAGCGGTCGGCTCGGTACTTGACCAGGATCGTTTCGCCCTTAGGGTCCACGTAGGAGTAGGAGCCCGTCCTGGAGCCGTCGGGGTGGAAGGCCTGCGCTCGGAAAACGAAGACAGGTGTGAGCAGATCAAGAAAAGGAGAGACAGGACGACAGGGCACACGCGAGGAGCACAAGCCAGTAGCCCATCGGGGGCGCCGTCTTTACCTCGTTCTGCGTGAGGCCGTTGTCGGCGGAGAAGGCGTAGTTGAAGGTGCCGTCGTCCTGCAACTCCTGCCGGTGCTCCAGGATGGCGACGGGCCGGGTGGCGGACGAGTCGGCCTCGGCGCTCGCGTCGTCGCCGTCGTCGCCATCGCCCATCTCGGCGGCCGCGCCCTCGTCCTCGTCGACCGGGTGAACCCGGAGTGGCCGCGGCATGGCCAGGGCGGAGGCGGCGAACAGCGCGAGCAGCAGCAGGCGGGACTGCAGCAGGGTGGAGGTCATGGCGGCGAGCAGCGCGGGGAGGCCGCGAGGCTCACCAAGAAGGTGCACGGGACGGAGGTGGAGGTGACGCAATGAGTGAGCAGTGAGCACGGGGGGACACAAGTCCGTGCGCGCCGCGCTCCGCCGCACCGCGCGCTCCGTTTAGTGAAACCGGGAGGGATTGATACAGAAAAAAATTGTATCGGGAAAAAGCTGGAGCATGAGACAGCAGTATCGTAGGCAGACACCAGCTTGGCTGCAGCAATGAGCAGGCGGACTTTGGGGGAAAGTGACTCGTACTTGCTTGATTCCCATCAGGTCAGCTAGTCAGTGCCGACAGACTCGATTTCGTCGAAGGGAAGTCCTGATAGTTCATTCCCAACCTCTGTTAGGCTGTTTAATCTAGTGCGGTACACTTTTGATATTACTGACAGAAGGGTTACTTCCTTGAAAATTTCATCTCACGAAATCCGTTTTGGCCATACGAATATTTCCCGCGGCTCACTCACTGCCGTAGGTCCCGGAGCACGCACTAGACGGGGACCACCGGGCACCGGCCGGCTGTGGTCGGCGCTGCGGCCACTCACTCTACTTACCAGGGGTGCCATGGTGACTCTTGCGTTGGTATCCACTGAACAAAGTGCAGCGGCAGGGCCGGGTCGTTTTATATCGGCGCAGAAAGGGACCCGGCCCCGGTCCCCGGCCGCGGGTGGGAGCGGGAGGACCCGCAGGGCGCCTCTGGAGTGGGGGCGGGTAGG